GAGATCGAAGGATTTACAATTTTCCGCTCTCGCCGGTGTCTTCCAGAGAAAAGGTGAAGTTGCGGAGCGACCACGAGCGTGAATGGCAGTTCGATCCTCGGGTGATATCACGACTTGCGAACGACGACCTGGATCTTTTCGTCCTTCGAAGTTGAGGCAAGTTCCACATTCGAACCGGAGTGAACCGAACGATACATAGGCGCCGAACCCAGGGGGGCAAAGGGGCACGTGCCCCCCCAACTATATTATTGAGGGGGCAACGCCCCCCCAAGAATGGCAAAATTTCAACAAAGGCACATGGAATATTGAAAACAAAATGCTGCTTCACGAAAGAAATGAAAAGTACGATTTTCCTTTCTGTTTTGAGCTCTCCCCCCCCCCCCCCCCCCCCCACTCGTCACTATGCTACCATGATATTACAGAAGTACCCCAATGGATCCTGGAATAACTGCGTCATTGTTATTTCAGGGGCAATAGGAACTTGCCTCCCCAATATTTTTTAAAAGTCGGCGCCTATGCGAACGAAGGTGTAACATGTAGCACAGCGACAAGAAAGCGTCGACGACGGCAAAAAAATTGCACCACGTCGTATGTTCGTCCGCCCGTCCGTCCGTCTGTCAGCGTTCAAGCAGCCAAACGGCTAAATATCGAGCGGTGAAATTTTGCTCACGTGTTCCTTAGCAGCCGAGGGTTCATCCTTTTCGAGGGACATCACTTTCTCCGACGTACCGCTTTCCTCATTTTTGCGAAAAACTCATTTTTATCATGGGAAATAATAGCGGCCTATCGCGTCCACCGATGTCGTGGGTGTCATCGGATAGATATCATATAAAAGTCTGAATGAGCTCGATCCAATCGAGGCCCGACGTCGGGAGTCATGTGTCAAAGACGAAATAAAATACTGCAAGGCCAGCCATCTGACATTTACGTGAATAAACGAGATTTTTCGCGTCAGAAGACAGATGGCGAACGAATCGCCGTCGGGGTGAGTCATCCGCCTCGAGTGACGGGACGAATGTAAAAGAGCTCCCATGAACTTAGGAATGGAAAAAGGGTTCTCCATCCCTTCGAGATGAATTTCCCTGGATGACGCCAAAAGACTCTTCCACGGATTTTTATTCAAATCGATCCTTTAAAATACGTGCGCACGAGAGTAGAAGAGCGTACCGTTCACTCGCAACTGTCGATCTCTTCCACCGATCTGCTGGAGCCCGGCAAGATTCTTCCTTCATCGGTCGAGATCTATCTAATGACTCCCATGACGTCTGTGAACGAGATCGGGCTCGTCGCCACGTGAAGGGTTTCGGCATCGTCGTCGTCTTCGCAATGCATTATTTTTGGGATCGAGGAGATCTCAGTCGCAAGAATACTTTTCTCGGGATTGTATGAATCTCAGTCGCGAGTTAAAGGTCGATTGTGAAAATCGTATTTTAACGCAGTGCAGAAGAAGATGCTTTGAAAAAATCACCAAAATCGTCTCATCACCGTTACGGCAACGAAACGACTGAGAGAGGACAGGTTATAAAGACAACGACAACCACCGATCGGCCTCGATAATGTCACGCACACGACCGCATTTGGGACCATTTTGTCCTGGATTCGGGTCTTTCGCACCGTCTCTCCTCGTAGGACTGATTCATATATTTCGTCTCTCGGGATCTCTCTCGAATGCGGGAGACGAAAGAACTTTCCTTTATGGGGGATTCACATGTTCGCGGTTACACGCCGCCACGGTGCGGTCATCGTTACTCCATCCGATGGCAAACGAAAGATAGTGAGGATCGCGAACTGCCTGGAAACGGGTCATTCTGCAAAGATGCAGCTTCTTTCGGCCGAGTTTTATCCATTTTTGGTAGGCCTCGCCACCCACGGCTGGGAAGTGCAAGACAGTTGTCGGAGTCGGACTCGAGTCGACAGAAGCGTTCCATTCAAATGGGGGGAGGGGATGAAAGAAAAAAAAAAACTCCTGAGAGACGTCGGCTATCTCTCGGGACAGGCTGAGCTGTGCGGACTTCCCTTCACGTCTGAACAAGAATCGCACTGGGCCTGTGGCCTTCCTTTCCTTCTCAGAAAGAAAAAAACCTTCAATCTGTTTCTCTTTGGTATCTTTTGGACAATTATTGCTGTAAATACCGGCAAGAAAGTTCCACTACGAGAAAAAGATACCCAATGAAAGTATTTTTCATTTTTACAGATCGTCATGAATATTTCTTCGCTTAAGTCTCCTAGGAAGGCATCAGATAAGGTTAACGAATAAAGTTTCTCCTTCATGCTAACTGGTGCTAGATCTGGCTAAAGCCAGAAGTTGACAAGGGTTATCGGATTTTGATCGCCTGAACTTGGGAACGTTTGTTTCTCGTATGAAGGTGGCCATAGGCGCAGAGTAGTAGCAGCGGCGTAGCCTTGGGGGGGATAGAGAGGAGGTGGTAGAGCAGTGGTTCTTAACCTGCCTTTTACTCCCATTGAACTTTCATGCACTCGGGGGGTAATTACCCCCAGGTTGAGAACCTCTGTGGTAGAGGGTAGGGGATGGGGGGGGGGGGGGGGGGGGGGGGGGGGGGGGGGGGGGGGGGGGGGGGTAGAGGGAGCACGTGCCATTCCCCTTCGCCCCACTTAAGAAGAAAAGAAGCAAAAGTAAGAAGGAAAGATGTATGAAACACATAAGAACAATGTCCCGGAGATCCCTCCTCCCCTACCCTCTACCACAGAGGTTCTCAACCTGGGGGTAATTACCCCCCGAGTGCATGAAAGTTCAATGGGAGTAAAAGGCAGGTTAAGAACCACTGCTCTACCACCTCCTCTCTATCCCCCCCAACTACCTCTTCCTAGTTTTTCCATCTACGCTACGCCTGTGGATACTAATATCTCCCTGAGCTATCTCGACCCTTTTTTTCTTCTACTTGGGAACTTTCCTTTTTCTTCGAACCGGGGGTAATTTTTCTTTTATTGCATTTCTTACTGGCTCGCATCCCAGTCGAGAAGCGATCCAGCGTTTTCAGAGGAATCGGTTCTCTTGCATATTGGGGGTGAATCACATTTCTAATCGCTCACAGAAATGGGAGGGAGATGAAGTAAGACGGATGAGTCAGAGCAACGTCAGACGGGAGAATGATGCAATGTCCTTCACCTCTCCCGCCGGCGATGCGTGTGAGTCATGCCTCCGTGGAACCATTTCCCTCGCCTTCTTCTCCCCGGTTCGATGGAGACCCGGAACGGCCGGACGTTGCGGATGCGGTCACGGCAATGCCTTGAAATACCACCAACCAGACCGTGACTCCCCTCATGTTTTTCGGCGAGTTTCGCACCTCTTCCATGCAACGACGAAACACCTTTTTTAACTTTTATGGGAAAGGTATAAACGAAGGGGTGACGGGTCGAACCCCCCCCCCCTCTCTCGCCCCGCAGTAGTCGGATCTTTCGATTGGTTTTTTTATTCTCAAACCATCGAAATATGCTTAGAAAATATAGTAATCGGTTGCAGGAGTCAGCTACAGCAACGATATTTTCAATTCCCGCGAAAGTATGGAAACGGTATTCCTACTCCTTCAACACGAGCTTTTTGGAAGCGTCGTTCCCAATTGTTTCCACTTTATTTCCTGAATTGGGAATCGGTAGGCACGACCAGCAAAACGTTGAGGCCCATTCCAAAATGTTTCATACACCTCCCTCCCACAACAGTCTAAGTCTGCCTAGAATCGCGGCGATCGAGCAACTCTGGAAAGTGTGAGAACGCCTTTCCAACGATTCCGCGAAGGCCCTGGTCTTTCAGAGATCTCTTAAAAATAAAAATAAAAATCTATACATAATATATATATAATAAATGTGAAGAATTAGTAAGAGGATATCTTTAGGAATGCTTAATCCTTTCGGTGCCAGGGGAACAATATATCGTCGTTTTTAGCCTACGAATCGGTTGCGCGGCACTAAAAGGGTTAATGACCTGGAATTTGAATTGAACTCAATCAACCTTCCTGTGTCTCGATGAATTAAAGTGGTAATTTCTTAGATCAGAAAGTTGTTAAATTTCAATCTCAAAAGATTATTATGGAAGAGCTGGTAATGAATTTGGCTTCGAGCTCTCTTTCAGAAATGTGCAGAATAACCGAGACTCGCAGGAAATTGAATGGAGATATTCTAATTTAAAAAGATAAACTGGCTTACATTTTATTGAGACTGTACAGAGTACGCTTCACAGAGCAAAAATAAATAAAAGCACGTTTTCATAGTGCTGGACGAATACTTCGAATCGCGACTCCATTCGAATCCCATTTCGATAGGGTTTGGATTCGTGGGAAAGTAATAAGAATACTCCATTCAGCTCTCGATTATTCTGAGTACCAATCTATTCTGAGAATAAATTATGACAGACTTGGAATCTTTCAATTCATCTCGAGTCTGGAACCATGAATTTTCGATGACAAGTCAACCGATTAAACATATTTTTCCTTCTACTAAGAACTCACAATAGAATTAGGTAATATTGCTGAAAGATTCCACGAATCTGAATTTGGATTGCATCCCAAGATTCGAATCCTAGCATCTAGCAAGCGCTGTTAGAATCCCCAGTGATTCAGTGTGATTCTTACGTCACGATTAAAGCTGGCTTGATCGATTCGAGAATCATCCATTGTGAAGTGTTGATGCTCAAATCTTGCATACCTGAGCAAAATCGAATAATGGACTTAGCATGAAGGAAACCTTTTTTTCGATCAAAGATTTTTGGAAAATTGGAAGGTATCCAAAAGCCTCACCTATAAGGTATCAGACAAGGAAAGAGGCTTTTAAGACACCATAAGTTGGTAGCCATATTCAGTTGGAAAATTGGTTACCAGATTTGGCGGTGAACTTTTTTCAAATGGTGTGCAACACCCTACCACTTGTGCCTGCTGACATGGAGCACACAAAACTCAATGCATATTTTTTTTACACTATACCAATCCAACTTGTCTAGTTCTTCATTCATAGTCATTCTACCCACCTACCCACTCCCTACAGAAAAAAAAAACCATGGCATGTCTCATGCCCAAAGAGATATATTTCCACCAAGGAAATGAGAAATTATCGATACAAAAAGCACCTTCAAGTAAAATAGGAAGAAGCAGACAACAGACAGAGTGATGCAAATGGAGAAGAGATGAAAATTTCAATACTCTTCACCAGCCTCTTCACCTTCCTCAGTGGAATCCACACCAACCTCTTCGTAATCCTTTTCGAGAGCGGCAAGATCTTCACGGGCCTCAGAGAATTCCCCCTCTTCCATCCCCTCACCCACATACCAATGAACAAAAGCCCTCTTGGCATACATGAGGTCAAACTTGTGATCAAGTCGAGCCCATGCCTCAGCAATGGCGGTAGTGTTGCTCAGCATGCAGACGGCCCTTTGGACCTTGGCGAGGTCTCCTCCAGGGACTACGGTTGGAGGCTGATAGTTGATACCCACCTTGAATCCTGTCGGGCACCAATCCACAAACTGGATAGTCCTCTTGGTCTTGATGGCTGCTATGGCTGCATTCACATCCTTGGGGACCACATCCCCTCGGTAGAGCATGCAGCATGCCATGTACTTCCCTGCAACAGACAGAAACACATAATGCATGCACCACCCTCAACCGAGACATCAAAGACTCAAGACAAAACCATGAGGAGACACCCACCATGTCGAGGGTCACACTTCACCATCTGATTGGCTGGTTCAAAGCATGCATTGGTGATTTCTGAGACAGACAGCTGCTCATGATAAGCCTTCTCTGCCGAGATAATGGGGGCATATGTGGCCAGGGGGAAATGGATCCGGGGATATGGAACCAAGTTGGTCTGGAACTCTGTGAGGTCAACATTCAGAGCACCATCAAAGCGAAGAGATGCCGTGATGCTAGATACCACTTGGGCAATCAGTCTGTTCAAATTTGTATATGTTGGTCTCTCAATATCCAAGTTCCTTCTGCAGATGTCATAGATGGCCTCATTATCTACCATGAAGGCACAGTCAGAATGCTCCAGGGTTGTATGGGTTGTCAAGATGGAATTGTAAGGCTCCACCACAGCTGTAGCCACCTGCAGTTCAAATTCAATTTCTCTGTATCTGATGATGCAACTAACCCTTGATCATACATCAAGAAGACTCAAAATACATTCCACTGACCTGAGGAGCAGGATATATGGAGAATTCTAATTTGGATTTCTTGCCGTAGTCAACAGAAAGACGCTCCATAAGGAGAGAAGTAAAGCCAGACCCAGTGCCTCCCCCAAAAGAATGGAAGATGAGGAATCCTTGAAGTCCAGTGCATTGGTCAGACAGCTTCCGAACTCGATCCAGTACAAGATCTACAATTTCCTTTCCAATTGTATAATGCCCCCTGGCATAATTGTTGGCTGCATCTTCCTTGCCAGTGATCAATTGTTCAGGATGGAAGAGTTGACGATAGGTCCCAGTCCGGACCTCATCCACAACAGTGGGTTCCAAATCCACAAAGACAGCCCGAGGGACATGTTTTCCTGCTCCCGTCTCACTGAAGAAGGTATTAAAAGAATCATCACCCCCTCCAAGGGTCTTGTCAGAAGGCATCTGTCCATCAGGCTGGATCCCATGTTCCAAGCAATACAATTCCCAGCATGCATTTCCAATCTGCACTCCAGCTTGTCCTACATGGATGGAGATGCACTCACGCTGCAAGGATAAAAAATACCACATCTTTCAAATATCTTCAGATCTCAATTGGATGGATCCCACAAGCTAGCAGAAGCAAAAGTACAAAAAAGGTGCCACTTCCCAAGATAAGTGCTTTCAGTTACTAACAGAGCATTCTTGGACAAAAGAGAGATTTGTTTTCAACATCATTTCAAGATTACTCTGCCAAAGAATAATTACTTCATTCATTTAGAATAATTAATCAGAAATTATTCAAATTACCTGCTTTTCTACAACCACTTCCAGTCTAACCTATTCACTGAAAATGGTGTTGGGACATCCTCCAGAAAAGCAAACATAGATGATGCTCTCATACAGTCTAATCTAGACAGTCTCTCACATCAGTGCAACACTAATTAAAAGTAGGTTGAAAAAATGTTTTTCATCATAAATATGGAAAATGATTCTGCCACACTGCCTACTTGAACAAACCTCTCAAGTACAATCATTTCCTTCCCTATTTTGGAATTAGCATACTTACAATCAGCTAAAAAATGTACATACCTTCTTAGTAGTTCAAGACTATAATTCTATAAAGCTTCATTGATATTCCATCCTGAAAAGAATACAAAGAAAATCCATTGTGGTTACTTTCAGTCAATATAAGAAGAGATTCACCATCATTAAATTTTTTACAAACACAACATCACATGTCCCTTGAAAGTCACCATAATACTCGTAAGTTAATGTGCTTAAATAACTTTATTCATCTAAGCCAGACCATTCAATTCAGAGCCATTAGGAGGCTCTGAAGGGGAATCCTCAAACTCTTAGCTTCAATTGCTATTCCATCCATGCTAGTACTAACACTACCATTCTGGCAAAAAAAGACTGATACCAAAATTTAGCCATTTGTGTAGGCTGCATGTAAACTTGTCCAATACTCTTTTCTTTACTGTCTTTTCTTGAGAATATATTATGCTAATTAGGCATAGTACAGTAAAACCTCTGATAGCTTCTAACCTCCAGTACCTTATAGCAGGGTTTGGCCCAAAGCATATAAGCTAGGGCAGGTTTTACTGTATTTTGAATAGATTCTTTGGGAACTAAAAGATGAAGAGTTGAAAAGAGATTATGCATAACTATCTTGGTTCTGGTAGTTACATGGTTAAAGTCCTTTAACCCTTTGACTGGCATGCCCATAAATTTCATGGACTCCCATATAACAGGCGTCTGTGATACTTGTCAGTCAAAGGGTTAATACTCACATTACAAGTGTGAAATGAACTTTCCAATAACAAAAGCTGTTGTCAAACACAATCTTGGCAGTTACAAATTTGAGAGGCATTTCCTGATGATCCCTTTTGTTCTTCTGGCAGATTTATTAGATACGTACTATCAGTCATAGCGTGAATCACTTCAGAACAGCTCCAGTTAAATGAGCGCTGCTTGATGTGGATTGCCAAAATGGTCCCGCTGTCTCAACTAAGCGAGATATAACTACTCCGCTGACTAGACAACCTAAAAACGTCTTACGCCTAGGCCTAGACGAGGTAGCTGACCATTTTGTACTAATTGTAGAAGACTAGTTGGAATCAGTAGAGATGAAGATAATGAAGTGACGGAAGACGGACTCCGAGTGAACCAGGGAAGCACGGTCACAGGAGAAGTACGGTCGTCAGGCAAGTGTGGAGTCAGATAAGTAGAATTGCCGGCTATAAAGAGGCAGCGGATGAATCCACTCCCCGTCTCTCGTTGGCTCCTTCCTACCGCTCCACTCGCTCACCCCAATATAGTTCCACCAGTCACAAAATTTCGAGATGGCACTGATGTACAGACAAATCAACCTCATTTCCTCAGTAGTGTTAGCATCAACGCAATCCTTCCATGAAACAAAAACAAGAAGGAAATCTCCAGGATATCTACCACTTGTAACCACCCCGTTCTCGAGGAGGTATACTTGGAGGCGAGTCCTACTAAAAACATTTCGTAATTTTCATACGGATTAGTGTTTTTCGCATGAGTCAGGCAATTTTCACTTGACTCAGACACTCGTGCATGGACGTTCTTCATGCATTAGTGTCCGAATCAAACAAAGAAATCCTGACTCAAATGAAAAACACTATTTGTTGGAAATGGAGTGATGTATACATTTCCAATAGTATTACAGACTTTCATCAAAATTTTGGATGAACTATATTCAGATTCACGAATGAAGCACTGGGTGGAAAGGATGTACACATTGGTTTTACAAGGATATCATCCTATTGTACAGGCTGGGCACAAAGTCCCTTCTATATGCAAAAAATTACTGTTTCTTGTTTTGTAGGTGAACAACATGTGGTAATAGTTTATGGGGGTTTATTAAAGGACATGTGTCAAAACAGCGTTATCAGACAGCTGACCAACTCAAGACAGCAGTCTCAGCAGCTTTTTTGAAAACTACTAAAATGACAAATTAAAAGATGGTCAAGAGAACATGGCTCCACATTGAGTTATGCCGTAACAATGATGGGTTGCACACTGATATTTTGGATCCTTAATTACATTTTATTATATATATATATATATATATATATATTTATTTTATTTATTTTAATTTTATTTTATTTATTTATTTTTTA